AGGCATGTTTAGAGCAGAGAGACAGAACTGGCTTCTGGCTACAAAGTGATACATGGATCTTATCAGGGATGACAGCAGCTGCTCCCCCACCCTGTTCATTGGTGTCCGCGTGATTGACACATCTTACTGGAAGTTGTTGTTCGGTGATAAGAAAATCACAAGTCTATAGGAAGTCAAACTGGTAAAGACTTAAAGACACTCATTGTTTATAGCTACACAGCGTTGACGGAATAAGCTCTTCTTCCGGCTATTGTATTTTGACAGCGAGCACCCGCGGCTATCAGATTACCCAAACAGTAACTGCATAGTCTACAATGTTATTTATTTATCACAGTTTTTTATGTAGCGGCAACAATTTACGCAGTGCCTTACATATTTCCACATTCATATCAGTCCCTGCCCCCAGGGCCGGATTTACTCTCTCTGCTGCCACAAGGTCAGGTTCCTCAATACGCCCCCCCCCCCCCTCCCCCAATGGAGAATGGCAACCAGATGGCGGGGGTGGCAGGGTTGGTTTTAATTTCTTTAACTTTTTAAAAAAAACTTTTTTATCACTTTTTTTATTTATTTAATTATTATAAATATTTTCACTTTTTAAAACATTTATTTATCTTATTTTTAAAAACTTTTTAAACACTTTTTTATCTTAATTTTTGTGTCTTATTATTTTTTTGTATTCATTTTTATTTACTTTTATTTATTTTACTGTATGCAAGTTGCATACAAGTGATCTCGGCGACATCACCGAGATCACTTGGACAAAACGAGCGGTGGCTTCCCTGCTCTACATTTAGCCCTGCTTACCTGACGAATCAGGTGAGTATATCCTTTTCATTTGATCTGAAGGTAACTCATACAACAGTTGATGTCAGAGGGCATGCATCTACTATCAGAAAGAGACTGCAGCAACATAACCTGCATGGAAGACAGGGATCCCAACCTGAAATAAGTCATTTAAGGGAGGCGCCCTTAAATAGCTAATGCTTTCTTTGCTATCTGCTGTTTTTTTTAGTGTTCCGACGGCACAGGAGCTTTTGAGCAGTTGGAAAAGCGTTTTTAAATGTCCAACACAAGAAATCACATGATTTTCAATGGCCCTGGTGCACACCTGAGCAGAAAAACGCCAGCAGGTAAAAGCCAAACGCCCGAAAAGGTACAGGAGCTTCTTTGGGCAGTTAAAAGCATGTTTTTGCCCCATAGACTTTAATGGAAATGCCCAAAAACGTGTGGCAGAAGCCATGAGCGTTTTTGCGTGTTTATAAGCGGGTTCTTCCATTGCCTGCAATGTTTTATGAGCTGTCAAATCGGATGTCTGCATGTACGCGCGTAAAAACGTGCATAAAAATGTGCACAAGCATAAACTCGCAAATAACTGCATGCTGCTCACGCACGGTGTGATCTAGGCCTAAATGTCTGCCCCTGCAGCTACAAGGTAATAATGTTGTCCTCTGATCACAGGGGAACAGGAGACAAAAGAAATGCTTCCTACTCCCTGCAGCAGACTAATGACATCATCTCAGTAGGGTTGCCGCCTGTCCAGGAATCACCCAGACTGTCCGGGTCTTGAATGCTGTGTCCGGGTTTGATGGCAGCAGAAACCCGGACAGATGTCATACAGACGGGCAACCAAAATTAAAATAGGGGCTACTGGCCACCCACTGGAAATAGTCTCCACTGTGATATTTACATATGAATGGGTGGCACTATTTTCATATGAATAAGCCGCGACTTATTCTCCAAAAAAAATGTTTGCGCATTGCTAGCGTGTTTGGGTTTCGCTTGAAGAAAAGGTGGCAACCCTACATCTCAAGCTAGGCAAAGTCAATTGCCTGGAGGTCAAGGATGGCTTTTTAAGGGTTAAATATAAAGCTTTTATGAAAAATGATTCTGTTGCTATGCATTGTGTCAGGAATTGATTCTTACAGACTTGTAGAGTTACTGAGAGGTCCACTTTAAAGAGGTCAGAGATTTTTTGTCAAGAGAAAAAAAAAAGAGAGAGAGCGAGAGGGAAAGAGAGGGTACATGGTTACACACATTTCTATCCGCCGCTCATCCCTCCTCAGGCCTGGCATCTCTCTCCTATGTACACATTCCACCACTTGAAGCTGGCAGGGCATCTCTCTGGTTCCAGAGCTATTTAAAACATCTCTGTCACAGGGACGTTCCTCAGTCCAATAACTGCACTGCATTCCTGCTCTCCCCACAACGTAAACAGCTCTGACTTCTTGTAATACATCCCTTTCATTCCACATGTTCACTCTCATTATCTCATCCTCTTTACGCTGAATTGCACACCTCTCCCTGTTCACAGCCCCACTACCTCTTCCTGGACAGCCCTTCTCTGTCTCACAGTGTCTCCCATTCATTCTGCCAGGCTGTACAGATCACGGACTGAGAGTTTCATGGAATAGAAGATGTAATAAGTAATACATTGCCCAATAAGTGACCGGCCACCTTGTAAATGCTATAGTCATATACATAAGTGAGAAGTTGCACATTCTTATCAACAGTCCAAGACATAAAATTTCAAGGTGTCAACAAGCGATCTCCTCCGATCTCTTCCCTCAGTCTAGTTTTGCAGGCTTGCTACAACAAACACTCAATTGTCGTCAGCGGGCGTGTCCATTTCCCCATACGCCTGCTGCCAAGTTGGAAGATCCCAGTGTCGGAAGCTATCCTTTTTGGAACCTTAGGTGCACCTATGAACCCACCAATCCCTGGGCTGGACAAATCCCAGGAGTTAGGTAGCCAATGTGCCTTAAAAATGACAGCTGGCATCTAACTTTCGAGGTTTTCTCTAGTTGTTTTCAATGGAGCTGGCTCCTAAAAAAAAATTTACGCTGGTTCCTGGATTTGTCCACACTTGGCCAATTCCTTGGACCAGGCATGAGACAACCAGACATTTTCAGTAGATAGCCATCTCTGCACAGTTCACAAAGCATACACTAATTGTCCTTTTTTAACTATAATTTTATGTTAGGCTTGATTCACTGAGCTATTATAAACATGTTATTTGCCATATCAATCATTAATTTCGGCACTATGACTATTATTTTTAGCTCTCGCCTGCTGTCATTGCTGGAAAAAATGGTTATAATGGCAAATACCAATCATTGAACCAGGTGTATGACATCTTCTAGGACAGCTATGTCATACTCAGGAGGAACAGTGACTACAAACACAGGCAAAAATCACCAACTGTCCAAATGTACCTGAAGAAGTTTCTAAGTAGTCTAAATGTTTATGCAGCTTTTTTCTGATCATTGCACAATATAGTAGACCTGAGATGAAAGTCATCCTTTTTTGTGTGGCCAGATTGGGTGAATGGGGCACCTCTACGCCCCAACCTACAGGGAGAATGGCTAAACAACAAGTTTGAGATCATATGCAAATAGCTGGTGTTCTCGCAGATAACCCAATTCCTATTCACAGATCCCCACCCCTTTCCATTCATATAAACCTGATAAGGCTCTGGAGCACTATGCAGATAGCTTGCCCAAGGGCGGCTGGAATGTCAATGTATTAATGACCACCACACAAGTCCATGGGCAGCTTTAGAATAACATGCATGATTTTTGTCCTTGAATGGGTTCCTTAAAGAGGTTTTTTTAATTTTCAGTAAGGACACTTACAACTAACCCCCTTCTCATGACTGGTAGGGTGTCCCATTCACCAACCAGTTGCTTTGCAAGCTAGGAAGCTGCCAGAGCTTACCCATGCCCATCTTATTCCATGGCAGTGTGTGTGCCAGAGGAGCAGTCCACCCTAGGAAGCCCTTTAAAAAGTAATGGGTCTGCGAGATCAAGCAAAGAATGATGACAGCTCAGAGCGGTGAAACCTCAGGACAGCCTGGTGGCGGTAGTAAAACAGCTGTTCGGCAAAGGTTCTAAGCAGGGTACCCCTGCCAATTGGTGGGAGGGCAAGCGTAGAGGTTTTCCACTTTCACATAGAAGGCGGAAAACCTCTTTACCGCTTTCCAAAGACTGCCAGATTTCTCCCTGAGAAAGGCAGAAGTGACCCACTCAGCTCATCTCCCTGACTTTGGTGACATCTGAACAGAGCACAAAGAAGCAATCACAAATGTAGACCTTTACAGGCTTGACTCAGACATCTAAGAATCTTAAAAATAAAGCAATCCTGAACTGCCTCAGACATTTTACAGCAGGTTGGGAAATTGTAATGGGAGACAACAAGCTCTAGGGTCACATGCGAGTGCTTATAATCACCTAGGCATTGACCCCCTTCACTGGCTGCCTGGTCCAAGCAAGGAAACTGATTTAAAGCCATGCGCAGCTGCCACAAAACAAGTACCAACAAGCTTTTTGTTTCACAGCTGTAAAACAAGTGTGTCATACATATAACATTAATTATTAAACGTGTCTGTACAGGTCCCTGCATGGAGCCCATGCCACCACAGCCTGAGATGGGTTTCTTTAGAAAGCCAAAAACAAAATGCCCAAAGTGCATTCACCGACAGCAACCAGGCATTAATTATCATTATTGCTAGACAGTCTGACAGTTGAAATCTGACCCATTGATATAAGTAATTGCACTTTGATCCTCACTCTTTGTACCATCTTCTTAAATTAGATCACAGTGCATGAAAATGTTCAAATATGTGCAAAATAGGATTCCTCCAGTAGTAGATTCCCTCTATTATTTTTAAGTAGGTGGTTACTATCTACTTTTATATTAAAAGTAATATAGCAGTGGGATACCTTGATGCATCCTTCTAGCAATGGGATAACTGGATGCATCTTCAAATTGATTATGGGCAAATCAGAGAATGATTAAGAAGAATATAAATGCAGAGAACAAAACACATAATTATTGCAAAATATATTTTGTTGCCCCCTTCATAAGCACTGCCTTAGGCAAATGCCTATATTACCTAAGCTCTAAGAAAGCACCTAAAGGAGCAATGAAAGTTTTAGAATAAGCACAAGTTTGCAGCGGAACAAAAAAAGGATGATGGAGGTGTCTGCGCATCACTCACGTACCTTGTCAGGATCATATGATTCCTCACTGTTGGACAGCGTAAGATTTAAAGGATCAATGAACTGATGTGGGTCTTTTCCCTTTTTGCGCTCTTTTCTGGCTGCCAGCACCTGGAAAATTGTAAGCTGCTGGCACAGTACAGTGGCTACCAGGAGCCATATCCAACACCTCATTATGTCCTGGAACATATAGATCCTTCAGAAGTTCACAAAGCTGAACGGTAGGAAGCTCCAAGTGTTTCAAGAAGATGCTGAATGGGATACAGCAAGTGGAAAGCGATCTACCTCTATAGATAAGCACTGGCCAAGACAAAAGAGGGTCAAGATAAAGCATAAAATCTACTTAACTCCACCAGGTCTTAAGACAGAGGGAGCCTGAAAGCAAAGTTCTGCCATCAATTTCTTCTACAGTCTCAAAAGTGTGTAATTAAAAGTCGCTGAACTATGAAGTCTGGAGCTTTCTCGAAGGATCAGGATGACATCTCAGCCCACATCGACCAGCATAGAGCCCCATCAGTGTAGACACTCCTCTTTCGATAAGGATCAAAGTCTAGACCCAGGTGGACAATAGGGCAATGTCATCTCGTTGACCTCTAGTCATCCTAAGCTGTGATGATAACCGCTTGCCTCCACAACCTGTAGCTCAAGCCTCCTATTCAGCCTCCTTTTCAGGTTTCTGAAGACTTCACAATCCACACTTGACTGGCAGTTCGTTTCTCCACGTGTCTGCTCAGCAACAGATCACAAAATTCCTAAAACGTACGTCCTTTTGCAGGTAGCAGGCTGCCTTTTTTTGCAGTTGTTATTCAGAAAAGGCTCTGAGACAATACATCTCAGTTTTGTGAAAACAGCTGCCGGTATATAAAAATATTTCAAAAGGTAAAAAAAAAGGTAAAAGGAAAGCAAAAATGCACAAAATAAGTCCAGTGCATGTCTAAAAAGCCTTCTGGTTTCTTGGGTCAGTGTGGCTTTTGCAGTGATTGTAGAGGAAGATAGTGAAATATTTTTATACTCTCTGTCCCAGTCTCCTCTGTCTTCACTGTCTCTCTCCCCAACTGCAAATTGGCAGTTGTTCTTCAGGGCTGTTCATTTCACCAAATATATCCTTCATTCCTGTAGCTGCTACTTGAGGGAGAAGGAGGGGCCTCACATGCCCTTCTGTCAATCCTAGTTTTTTAACAACCCTATTAAAACAGAGCTGATAAGCCCCGTTCAGCCTCTCTCCAGAGAGATGCTAATCACATTTTAATGACCCATAAAACCTTTTTCTTTTTTTTTTTTTCTTTTTGTTACCTGAGGGAATGCAACTGTTTATGAAAATGACAAATGAAACACGGAATAAGAAGAGAAGAATGTCTAGTATTTAACCCTTATAGACTAATGCTACCTTTTGGGGTAAAAAAAAAAAAAAAAGATACTAGAAAGCAGGAGAATTAAATATCCAAAAGAAAATAGTATTTATTTAATGGCTTAATGGCATGTTCTCTTATATGTGTGCAGGCTCCTGAAGTGTCCAGTATGATTGCACTTTTTTCTTGTTTGCATGGAAAATTTGTAGAGACGGCTGTCTGTAGCAGAGGTGGGTGACCTTTTATGTGCTATAGGTTAGCATTTCTCAAACTTTTTTTAGTCACCCAAAAACACACAAAGTGGGTTTCCCTTTTCACACTCAATGTGCCGCTTTCAAATCAAGATCCCACTACACATTAGAGTTACCCTTTGCATTAGTAGCCCTCATTCACATCAGCAGCCCCCTCTTTCACATCAGAGTTCCCCTTTCACATCAGAGTCCCCCCTCTCAAATCAGCAGTCCCCTCTTTTACATCAGAGCTTCCACCCCCCCAC